TGGTCTGATAAATTCATCGTTGATATATGAGCATTCAAATGTCACCCAATTTTGTCACCCAATATATATTTTCAAAACGAAACAACTTATACATATTTTTTTATTGAGATTCACAGATACTTTAAATAAAATTTCAAAAAAATTCTCTAAGATTCGTGTTTAATCAGACGAAATATGGCAATGTCTAAGAGCTCATACGACATTTTTCCCTAGCAAAACAGTGCATGTAGGAGGCTGCTGCGGCTGTGTGCGCGCATCGCACCTTTCCGTTGAGTTGTAAGCACGTACTCGTATGTATGTCACAATTACGCACGTAACCTTCCGGAGTGTCATCCATGACTTCACCGGTGGACAATATGACCTGCCTCTCGCGGCATTCCCCTTGTCCGGCAAAAATCCCATATCGGTCATCGCCACACATTTAAACAGTTTTCAGCATGCCGTGGAATAGACGGCCAATTGGTCAAGACGCAAACATTCACTAATGAAATTTATACAGAAATCATGATGCATGATCATTCATCGGCCTATAGTCAATTCAAGGCATATTGACGACGTAAGACGGCAATCACATAACTCGGTTTGCGACGTCGCAGACTTCCTGTCATACTTTAATTTTTAAATGGAAAACTGCTCAACGGCAATTTTTCAAAACTGCCGTGATTGTTCTTCTCTGTGCGAAAAAAATTCTGCAAAAACTTCAAGGACTTATGTTAATTTGTTCTCCTTTAAAAGAATAACATAGAGGCGAAGATTTTCAGACACCGCAAACAAGATATGTGATTGCGGACTTAGCCGTCGATATACCGCACCAACAATTTGCTCATTTCAGAATTACCGCACCAAATATTTTTACTTTTCTTGTTTCCCCCTCCATCAGTTCTTTATCAACTACTTAAGATGATTTCGTGTATTTTGCTGTTGAAATTTTGAAATTTAGTGGGTGAAAAAATATCCTCTTTGGGCGTCGATCAAGTGAAGAAACGAAAGTCTCAACGCTCCTTGACTGACTTCTTGCGTTATCGTGACCAGCACCTGTATTTATACAGATCGGAAAAAGATTTTAAACTGCAGCAGCGAAATAAACGTGAAATGTGTATGATCAATATTTACTACTTTACACAATAGAATCTTAATTGCTTTGCCAAGGTTAATTTACTTCTCGATTGTGTAACCTATTCATGATCGGCAAAAAGTTGAATGGTCGCATCATGTCAACACAGAGGGGCAAATTAGATCTGATTTTTCATTTTCACGTTTCCTCACGCCATCCACAGTTGTCCCTATGCACCATCAACATGTGCCCCGATGACGATACCAAAATAACCGAAAACGCTCACAAAAATCTACAAGCAACAAGTTATAGCAGCTCTCAGAAAGGGGGGGGGGGTAGCGGGTGGCAATATGAACAAATATGAATTGGAATGCCTCAAGATAATACTTGACCTAGCGTGCCAAAATTATGACATCACCGCAATGGAAGACACTGCTAGAGTTAAAACGCCTTTTGTCACGTATCAAAAAGTTTTCGCAACGTGGGAATCGTGTATTTGTGCCATCTAACTTTTAAAAAGTAATACCTCCGTACGTCATCTTCCTTCTCCTCGTTCTTGGATTCAGAAGCGCGAACATGTGGCTTTTTTGAAGCGCGAACAATTGTGATGAACGTGATCGCATGGGTTTGATTCATGCAGTCCTGCAGTCCCTCGAAATATAAAACCATTTTGTCACACACTCGGCGAGCAAAGGGCCACACATCACGCCATCAAACAAATCTGGATTTTTCTTCTCTTCTTTATTGGATAGCTTTCTGGCTTTTATTAAAAGCTTTACAGCCGAGGGTTGAGCTGCTCTTAATCAAAATTTGTTTAAAATTTACGTTGTCGAAGCTTAACCCTTCGTTGGCCAGTAATGAGGACTCATGAGGCTGCACCTATAATTAAAATTCGGTGGATTGAATTTTTTTACGGCGTGCTTCTAGGTTAGCTATATTGATCCACACACAGAACTTCATAGCCCATCGTTAAAATTCAATGAGCCACGAATTAATTAGATCGTGAACGACAGTCACTGCAAAAAGTAAAACGTAATTTTTTCATTGCTTTATAATGTACTTTAAATGAAAACCGCATGACTTCGATCCGATAGGAATCCTTGCAAATTTTCCGTTGCATAACATCAGTAACTACATTAATAGACCAAAAATGCGTGAGTAATGCAAAACATAATTTAAAGAGAGCTTTTCTGACGTAATTTTTTTTAAAAAACTGCTTTGACTACATGGAAGTAGAGTTTGAAAAGTCCCCTTAAAATAAATATGAGGCATTACTCTACATACCCATGACGGTTTCTCCGACTAAATGCGAGACAATATACTAAACGAATGTTCGAAAAGCGATCCGCACGTTAATTTATGATACAAATATTTTAGCACTGGTGTGGGCGGTGAAGTATCGCGCGAAACTGAAGGAGTTTTCGACTGATGACAACAGTTTAACGTGACTCGCAACATCATTCGCCACGTAATGGGATCAAATTAACCCGCATCCTTGCCGTAGTTTATTCTTTGAAGATAAGCCAGTATCCACCAAGATACAATATATTTTAAAGAAAATTTGCAAAAGTATGTCCATGTTTTTTGGTATTTACCATCTTTAGGACTTTGGCAGAGAAATAAATAATTAAAATTTAATTTAAAAGAAGTCCAAAGGCTATAGTTGTGGTGTTTTCTCATTGTGAAACGATTTTCATCTTGACATTCAAAAAAAAAAGAAAGAAAAAATTTGCACTTTGTGATCTATGCCGCAAAATTTTCTCAACAAACAAAACCTAGTTTGATACACCAATTTATCTATAGGACAAAGTAGGAGAAAAGAACTGCATCACTCCTTATAAAGTGACTTTAAGATTTTCAAATTACCTCTCTTTCATCCCCTATTCATTGACTAAATTTCCAATGTAAGAGCTCTAAAATTATTTGACACTAAATACAATGAGGTGAATCATTAACTACTTTGGGAGTTCTTTTTCACGTTGTTGTTGGCAGCACCCGCCTCTGCTCTAGGATGCATGACTGCTTAAATGTTGCATTCAGCGATCTCATAAGGATTGCGGAGAAACAAACAAAGCAGTCTCGTGTGAGATTGTAAGTTAGCGCTGTGTCCGATCGTCAAAGCAGCTATATTCCTCCAAGAACGTACGATTGATCGTGTCACATCAAAACCTCCAGGGAAAATAATATCATCTGAGTGAAACTTTCACCGGAACATTCTTGATATATTTTCAGCATTTAAAGTTCGCACGCGATTCGGGTGCCGCGCATCATTAGCGGATGGACAACAAAACTAAGCATATCCGAAAATAAGACCAAAAATAAAAATCAGCTTCCCTATCTATAGTGAGTGAGTTTATATAGATATCACTATGCTGCATGTGAATAAAATGATACGTAAAATTTTAAAAATTAAAATACATTCTTAAGGGAAGGTCTTTTGAACAATTCTTTGTAAAATAGTTAAGCTGCACAATAGGAACAATCTTAGAGGAGAGGGTTTCGCGAGGAGCTTTTAGCCTGCATTTCATCGGATAAGCCAAAAGAACACTCATGCGTCGAAATGTCTGCATGCTCGTTGATTAAACTGACAAATACGAAGGACTCCTAGGGACGAAACTCATGAAAAAGAGAAACCAATTTATTGACATAATTTAATTAGAATCACCTTTCTATATCTGGAAGAGGGAATCTATCATTTGCATAAATGGCGTCCAGAAAATAAACCAAAAAAATATTTGTTTCGTTATTTTAAAAAATCTAAATTTGAATAGTGCAAAACTAAAAAAAGAATCTGCGTCCCTCGGTAGCTATCCAAAGAATTTTCTAATTTTTTGAGAGACAAAATTAGAGTACTGATATACTGTTTAAGCGCAACCTAATTTAGTAAGTGAAACACACAAACTTATATCTATACTGTACCGAAAAATTAACGTAATTGTACTCCAATAAGTATGTGTACACCACCTGTTTTTTTATTTTTTTAGCTGAGTCAAAATAAGCCAACTCTTTGCTTTCAGTGAAAGGCCCGTAGAGAGATAGTGTCCTTGGCGCCGCTGGCTCCAAAAATTACCTCAGATTTTTTGAATCTTTCTACAGTTTTTCAGAAAAACTATTCTCCTTTTATTGCAGGTTTCTACGTTGATTTTCATTGGGTGTAAGTAAATAGTTATTTTAGTGACAATTGATTTTCCTGGCATACTAGAAGTCGATAAAAACAATTTGAATTCATATTTGGACGTGTGGCATGTAGCACTTACCAACTTACACCGGAAAAATGTCAAAAATTTGTCTGGTGATCCATAGATGCTGCCTTAATTGCCCTTACAGTTAACTTTAAATCCTGTGAATGCAAAGTTAACGGAGGGGGTAGTCAAGTCGGCATACATAGGAATCACGAAAACAAAAGTTGAGCTTTTAGTCGACTTTACAAATATATGTAATAATTGCGACTCAGCATGGTTAAAGCATGGCCTGAGTCACAATCATTGCATATATTTGTAAAGTCGGCTAAAAGCTCAATATTTGTTTTCGCATTATAAGTAGTCGAAAATCGAAAAATCTAGTTGTGGAGATCACTAGAACCATATTTGATATCGTAGACGCTAAAACAGCTTATTGTTATTTTCAATTTGGTAGCATTGCTTTCACACTCTTCGTTGACATTGCTCTGACATTCTTATACAGAGTATAGAAGATTTTAGTGTGGTCCATCTTTTGTCCCAAAAAAATATTTCGTCATCGGAAAATCGGCGAGACCAGAATCGTATAATAGGCCGTGTCCACTCCCGAGACAAGAGGCCCGAATTCGGGTTCGACCATCGAAGAAAAGCGTCTCCTGGTGGGGCGCGACGCCAAAAGAAACCGCGCAGAAAAGTCCGTGACGTCGCGACTCGGTCCGGCTCTTCTTCTTTTTTCTCTTCGGCGGCTGCCGGCGCCTGTGATAAGTCAGCGTCGGTGCAAGACGCATGGCATTTCCTGATAAGCTCTTCACTCGTCCACAATCGAGTCAGCGGTGCGCTTCGTCCAGCAACGTAGCCGTCGAGTCGCTCAGATCCGCGTACTCGCGCCGAGAGTTAGCGTCTCGCATCGCACCAGTTCGCACGCGCGCCTCGCATAGTATCTCGCGCACTATCACGCTTGTTTTCGCCGGTTTTCCACACTTGTCTTTGTCGAAACCCGAGCCTTAACACTTTTCGTGCCCATTTGTTTGTAATTCGAGCTCGTGTCCGCCCGAAAATCGCAGCTAGTTGAGTTACTCCAGAAACCGCGAATTCCTCGCTTTAAATCCTCCTAAATTATTTCGCGGACGCAATTACGCGTTTTTCACCTTCCGTCGCGGAAACCCGAACCGGCAGTGACATCCGGACGGAGGAAAACTGACTGGAAGTGATTCCGCCGCTCTTGTGCCTGGGCCGCGATTTTTCCAACGGATTCAGACTCGCGATTTTGCCCCGCGACCCGATTTCTCCTCCAAAGTCCTCGGGCCATCGCGGGATATCCAAAACCACCCATCTCGAGCGAGGATATACGAAAATCACAAATTCAAGACTTTATTCAACCTAACTCGATTTTAAGTAACCTAACTCAATATACATAATAACTTGTTGGTTGATTTTTTTTTATTTGTTTTGTTTGGTTTTGATTTTTTCCTTTATTATTTATTTATTTATTTGTTTTTCGATTTCGGTGACTTGACGTGCGGCTGATTTACCAGTGCTAAATTGTAAGTGTATCGCCAAGTGGTAGAGAAGTTCCTATTCAATGCCTAATTTTTCGTTGAAAAATGTGTTTGAGCTGCTTTGAGGTTGTGATCGCGTCCAAATTGCAGCAAGATTACAGTGTCTGAAGTGATCTACGTGATCTTCGTACTAAGGAGCAGAAAATTGCACTCAATTGGAATATCAACCTGCACGAGTACACGAGTTATCTAGCGGACAATAATGAAATCAGCGCTAAAGGAATTGCACAGAATATGGGAGAGTGGCATCGGCAGAACGGTGAGTTGATAACACTTAATCAGCCAGTCTTAAAAAGTATTAACTCACGTTGAGAAGGAGTGTCTCATCGAGGTTCATTCTTCTCTGCCGTTATTTTAAATGGTGGCCAATGCAGTATATTGTGCATTTTATTTTCATGTTCAAAATTAAAGAGCAGGCTATATTATCACTCTTCTGCTATATTTTTCTACTACCTAAGAATCCTCCCCTCTCACATGACTGTAGAGATCACTAAGTAATTTGACCTGGTTTTTCACAAAGATTTTAATTTTTGAGACATCCATACCTTCAATGATGAGGGGCGGTCTGGTCAGGGGTGTTAAAGTGCTTCAGCACCCCTGGAATTCTGAAGGGTGGCTAAAAGGGCCCCGGCAGGTGTCTTGAAGGGGCCTCCTAAACGTGAAAACCCCACATGAAGGAGGATTAGGTTAGTTAAAGTGGGCCTTACCCGATAGGAGGGGGCCTGAGAACGTATCGGCACCAAGAATTTTTGAGCCCCCCCGTCTTGCCCGTTTTTTTCCCCCGTCTATGCACTTATTTCTCATTATCCATTCATTTTTTGGACGCATAGGGTTTCCCGGGCCAAATTTTTAGGTAAAAAAAAAAGGTGAAAAAATACTCAAGTTTCAGATGATCTGTAATTAATAGGGTTTCTTGAGTCCTCCGTAAATTTGCAACCCAGGCTTTTTTCATATTTTTTCTCTTGTGCACTCTTCTCACAACCTTCTTCCATTCTGTGAGAGTAATTGAGAAACACCTGCAAAATCAGTAGAAAACACGCTTTTAAGATGAGAAGCAAAAAGCAGCTCATAGACAGTCAAAAATTTCGGCGAATTGGAACTACTGATACGCGCTAACAAAGGAGACTTTCGGTCAAAAGCCAACTTTATACTTCTTTCTTGCTGTGTATCATTGTTCAAATTCCATTTTTTAATTCGAAGCGCCCATTACCTAAGACATGTTGACGGTGAAATTGCAAATACGCGCATTTCGGTTCGCGGCGTCGCAGACTTTGTTGTCATATTTTATTTTCTGATCAGAAGACTAGTAGGCGTCATTTCTTAAAAATTTCCCTGATTTTTTCTCCAGGTAAAAAATATCCCGTGGGAAATTTCAAGTCAGGACGTTGGGTCAGGCTCCTCCTGAAAAGAAAAATAGGATTGGGGATTTTGAAATACCGCAATCGAGGTACGCGTTTTTATCAGTATCGTCGCGTCGATGTGGGATGTATCGCATTGAAACTGACACATAGTTTCAGAGTGAGCTGCAAAAAAAGGGAGTCATAAAAAATTGAGCACGAGCGCAAAACCAGTTTCCGTTTTATAAAAACCTCTCTGAAGCGTTGAAGTCGCTGGCTGAGAACGTGTAAATTACCCGAATGAATTTTTCGCGAGTAGGTCGTGGGGTCGAACTTCTTACTGGAAGATGACATGTTTCGAGTGAGTGCATTGAGTGAGAGGCATACTGTGAGTGCTGCGAGCGTTCTGCAATAATGTAATCATTTCGCGAAGTTCATTCTGAACCCGAAGAAAATCTCTCAGGTACTCGGAAATGAGTTGCACAATTTTCGATATTTTGGATATTATGGTTCTACCAAGGCTCAAGGCCTCTGGGTCAATAATCAAAAATTTGATAAATGTTCAACGAATTCATATGTGACTCTTCAAGGATAAAAAGTAGAGCACGATTACGTTTTCAAAAAGTATTTTGCAATATCTTACGTTTTAGACAATGTAATATCACATGACGTTCTGGCCAAGAGAGCCATGCAATCAATTGCTATTAAAATATTATACTAATCCTGAAGAGGAACATTTGAGGGGCTTGGAGGACAAGGCACATAAGTGCAGTGTTCGCTATTTCGCGAAATACGTGTTTGGAGTTTCAAAATTGCATGGATCCTTATGGCGGAAAGAAAGTTCAAACTGACTTTTTGATGCTTCGAAATTGGAATTTCGGAGCGAAGTTTTCACAGAATGTGCATTAAGACTAGTTTTACTTAAAATCATGAAAATCTCAATTTTTTCAAAGACTGCACTTATACGCCTTGTCCTCCTAACCCCTCATTTATTTTGATGAACTTTTAATTTGGTAGATTCTGGTCTGTTTTGTGTCAACGACCTCTAAAAACTAGCAAATCATCATATCAAAATTTCCACAATATGAATATCCGTGGTACAAGAACTGCCGTGAAGAGGAAAAACGCCGTATGAGCCTTTAAATGTTGCCAGATTTATTGGGCGAACTGTGAATATTTCCTCCAGAATTTTCGGACACTTTTGTACGCTGTTTAATCTAAAATATCTGAAAGTTTCAAGGAAAAGTATGCATGAAAGTCGTCAAAATGCGTTTTTCGGAGGGAAATTTGGCAAGTCCTGAATGTTCATACAGCGTTCTTCCTTAGCACGGCAGTATAAATCACGTCAATCTACTCGTTCCTCGATAACCATCCTTTCGATGCAGTGAACTCATTGTCACGATCGAATTTTCGTGAAAAAAATCAAACCCAGAGGGTCAAAGCTATGATGTGCCCTCGGTGAATTTCAAAAAACCTTGTTCAATCAGTTGACCCACCAAAGAAAACATTACCCCCACCTCCTAAAAAATGGACCTCCTTGGTCCTCGAATCGGCCCACGAGAAGGGAAGTTGCAAGAGTCAAACCTCGATCGCAAAATGCGGTTTTGAATATTGTCGCGAGTATCGACATTATTAAAATTGACTCTATCTGGATTTGAAGATTTTATAATAATCTAATATCTCATGATGCTCTAAACCTTTTGTGCTTTCTCAATGTTGTTTAACACGGTTAAACTCATTTCTGTTTGGTGACGTGCAATTATCCATAAACAGGCAGAAAGGCGCGAAAAATTTCAAGCCGGTTGATTTGCATTTTATCACTTCGCGCATTCAGAGATTTTCTGAATTATAATTCAGTGCTTCAATCGACATCTTGCGAGCATTTAATTCGTACCTCACGCTGGCGGTATCGAGTGTACCATCATCGCAGGGGAAAAAATTGAGGGCATGAGCTTATTTTCGGGCATGGTTGTCGAATATTCAACCGTCCTTGCTCCTGACTTGGTTGACGCAGTCTAGTTAGCAACAAAATTTGTAATTCGTAACACCAGCATAAGATGTGCCAGCACATGTCAGTGATATTTATTCATGCTACACTTCACGTCATATTTCGAGTGTGGCTCATACAAATGCAAGTCCTTGCTGAGGATTAAATTATTATGATAGAAGTGCATGCATACGTTGGAAAGTGCAACGCCAGACAAAGAGTCCCACAAGTTGAAGGTTACTTACTGGGCGTAAGAATTAAGATACTTTAGGTTCAAAAATGAATTGAAAGTAAATGGTTGCCTAACTTAGTACCAACTCTCTCTTCGCAGGAACGAAACTATTACAAAGTCCAGTGGTAAGACCGCGAAGTGATTTCAGTGTATGAAATAAGGCAAAATTCTCGACTCGCAGGTTTCAATGAGCAATATTTTTTTGAACCCATAAAGTGCCTACTGCCAAAATTTTAGGAAACACAACTAGCACGCAACTTTCGTTTAAAAAAAAATAAGAACATATGATGACACTATAATGTAACTTGGTTCTTTTTTATTCCCCCCCCCCCCCAAAAAAAAAAATAGCGAAAATCTTACCAAAATCTCAATAACTGATGCGTGGTTCCGGATTGATTTTAGCAGTAAGCAAAGATTAATTTAAGAGTATGCATTTGAAATTAGTGGAATTAGGGTTGAGGTAAAACTAGCAACCCTCTCCCTATGCTGGCCTAAAAAGTATTATGCCGTGTCCGAACTGCATCATGTTCGAGTAACGTGAAGTTCTAATCGCAAGTTTAACTGCAATTTTTGACTTCACGTGACATAGTTTCTTCGCCTAAGGAACGCAAAGGTTGCCAAATTGACTCACATGATTAAGTTTTTTATAATAATATGACTGTACGATTTCCGTCCAAACTTGGGCCGATTTTTGCGTGTAATCGGAAAGAAAATCGGTAAAATTTTCCGTCAGAAGCGTCCCACAGTTTTTTAGTAAAAGTACAATTTGCTAGCGGAAGTTTTGCAGCGTTGACATGTAGTTACGTTATTTCGTTTGGGAAACGAAGGGTTAAATAACGGCTGTCTACAGCGCTTTGAAGCAAAAATCTGTGGCTCTGAATCCAGGTGACACAGTGGGAAACGCTAGAAATTCCAGTCCAGCCGGATGTCCGACTTCCCTGAATCTCTGCAAAGGATCAAATGAACTGTACATAAGTGGATTATGGGTTGACAGCATGTCTCAAACTACCGTGCGAACTATGCAAACTCTGGTTATGTGACTTAGACTCAGGACGCTCATTTTGAAAAGTCTGAGCTGTTACTGACGATCTTCGAGGATAGATGCGGAATGCTTCATAAGAGTCAAAAAATGAGAAAAGAGACATCCTCGAGAACGTTTTCAGCAGGCGTCTTCTGAAAACAGCATATGATGGACATTGGCTGAAATTACTACTACGTGCTAAGGAAAAACGCCGCATGGACATATGATAGTTGCCACATTTCCCATCTTAAAATATTAATTTTAGAGACAAATAATGAGTATTTCTACTAGAAATCCTCTGATACTTTAGATCACATTGTGAGGAAACTTCTATGGAAAATTGGACTGAAAATTTTCACAATTTTTCCTGAAATTTCGTAATTTACCTAAGGAAATTTGACAACGCACGAAGGTTCATACGGCGTTCTACCTTAGCATGGCAGACTACTTTCGGAGCCCTTAAAAGTAAATAACTAGACTCTATTCGTGAGTATATATAGGTACTTGAGTTTAAAAAATTTAAGGTAAAAGATTTAAAAGGTAAAAAATTCCTGAATTTCATGAAAAATGACGTCCTTTCATGGAAATGTTCCAGCCAGGGCCCCTGGCTATGCTACTGGATTAATTGCCCCCATGTGCCCTTTTTATGTATTTCTACAAAACGACACGTTCGTCATCAGGA